AGGCAGCACGACACTTTTTTTTCAAGTGTTATGCTATTTTCTATATATAAGATGTTTAGAAATTATTAAATTTTGGTATTTTGTTTTGAAACTGCGTATCTTAGTAGATTTTGAGTAGAACTGTCGGGAACTGTTGCTAAAAGTGCAAATATTTATCATTTTCTCGTACTTTAGAGGAAAACTGACGTGCCAGATTCGCGACGTTAGCACGCTATATTTTCAATCTTGTTTTTTTCATATTAAAAGTGCGGAACTATTTATTATTTTTAGGTAGAACTGTAGAACTATGAAAAGTGCTACTGGAACTGTTGTACTTTTTTTGATATCGATAGAATGCCGTGCTAGCTTCACAGATCCTAATGTTACAGCGTTATATTTCGGCAATACAAATAAAAATTGTTTTAGAATAAATAAATATTATGATCTTTATATACAAAATATTAAAATAATATATATGATAAAAAATTCCGTACATTTAATGTTTAATTAATTATAACGATTAATAAAATAAAATTAATGGAAAGGAAAATAAATATATAAAACATAAATCTAAATATTTTCTGTTCATATAATATTAATTACATAAATTTTTGTATTGTATAACAAAAACTTTTTATATTATTATGTAACGTTATATCTCATAAAAGGCTTAGGACGCTCGCACGGTATGCAAGAGATCCGGGTTCGACTTTCGGCCGAGGTAATATTTTTCGCAATAAGAATTAATTATTTACAGATTTTAATATGTTATTCATCATTTTTAAGATCGTTTCGAAGATGCGAATAAACATAAAAAAAATTTGTTAAATTGCCAGTCAATTTAACTCGTGATATTACTGCGGTAGTTTAATAGAGTTAGCGTTTCAAGACCGAAAAATCATTTCGGCGCGCGTTTCTGGGTACTACATACGTAGTATATAAATTCACATAAGAATCATACAAGCATTAAGATCCAGCTAGACCGTTTAAGGCTTTGATTTCTATAGTTTGTGATATCTCATAAATTAATTAAAAATACATTTTTGTATTGTATAACATAAATAAAAACTGTTTATATTATATAACGTTATAATGTGGGTGTGTGTGCATTGCACAAATTAAATAAAAATATTTTTTGTATCACAGCAAAATACTTTTTGTATCACACAAGAATTATAAAAATAAATTATGCATGTCCATAGATTTGTTATCGTAAATTTGCTTACGTATAGTACGTTTTTTGTTATAAGTTCGTAATTTGAGAATCTTCTTATAATTTTAAAATATAAGTTATGACAATTCAAAGTATGACTAGCATTAACTTTTGCAAATTCTGCACCTAGAAATGATGTCCAATTAACATTTTGAAAGTCATTAAAAAATTTACAATAATGACGAAACATTTGTTCTAATTTTATAAACATATTAAATGTTTGAACGTTAACAAAACATAAAGAATTGTATAATATTTTAGTCGTACAAATTCTGTAAATAAATAATACAATGGAGTTGGCGATTTTACTGATGAATACATTTATTGCAAGTTTTACATGTTTAGTAATAGATCTTATAATATAACCAGCTAGGTTATACAAACTATTTAATTCTAAATTTGACAAATATGGTATTGAATTTTTAGTAAAGGGGGGATCTCATTTTGACATACCTATATTAATATTATTAATCACAGATTTGTTTTTTCCTTTTCTTTTGATAAATATTCTTAAGAATCATATTGTGTAAAAAAAAATCCATTTAAAAAAATTAAGGTGACCTTCATATATTTTTGGCGCCTCCACCTAGAAAAAACCAACATAACCAAAATAAGTTCCCCTCGAAACCCTTCCACTTTCATTTGAAATATTTTTTTATATTATCAAAAATAAGCAAGATATTCAAGATGTTTGATTTAAATGGACCACCCTGTATAGCGTTTACGCAAAAATTAAAAAGAGCTGTATCTCATAACCCTTTGCCAACAAACGAAAATAAGAGAGGTACAAACTGGTACAAATGATTCTCTTTCGAATGCCGTTGGTCCCATTTCGATATCTTTAAAAATGGTCGACTTCCCCTTTTGGTGCATTTCCGAAATTTTGAAATCGCTGTATCTCCAAACCTTTTGAGGTACGAACGAAAGTAAGAGAGATACAAACGATTCTCTTTCGAGTGCCGTTGGTCCCATTTTGATATCTTAAAAAATGGCCGACTTCCCCTCTTGGCGCATTTCCGAAATTTTGAAATCGTTGTATCTCCAAACCCTTTGAGGTACAAACGAAAATAAGAGAGATACAAACGGGTACAAACGATTCTCTTTTGAATGCCGTTGTTCCATTTCGATGTTTAGAAAATTGGCTAAGTTTGCCATACATATAGGGGTTGCGCAAAAATTGAAAAGCGCTGTATCTCCGAATCCTTTGAGGTACAAACGGGTACGAACGATTCTCTTTCAAATGCCGTCCCATTTCGATATCTATAAAAGTAGCCGACTTCCCCTCTTGGCGCATTTCCGAAATTTTGAAATCCCTGTATCTCCGAACCCTTTGAGGTATTATACAAACGAAAATAATGGAGGTACAAACGATTCTCTTTCGAATGGCATAAATGAAATTAAAAAATCTTAAAGTTGGGCGCTGGCCATTTTTTATTTTTCATTTTTTGTTTAGAGGTACAAACGAAAATAAGGGAGGTACAAACGGGTACAAACGCGCTACGGTATTAATTTTTATTTTTGATAAAGTTGGGCGCCAGGTTCACATCAGTTAAAAACCGAACTCCAATAGCATCGCTATTTTACCAATTTATATCTACATGTATCAGACTAGAGATTAATATTAAATTTAAGTAATCAAAGCAAAATTTACTAAACTTGGATGTTGGTTTTCTTTCTTCTGATTAATTCCAATCTCAATCTTAATCTCAATCTCTAGTCTAATACGAGCATTACACACATTACAATACAAGATTTACAACACATACATACGGTTTAGAAAATATTAAAGGATAACTACGTACTACTATATGAATGTATGTATATTAATACATAACACGAAATTTTTTTCTCTTTTATGTTTTTTCTTTTTAGTAAAGCTCTAAGACTCATTTCTAAAAGCATATAATTATTTTTTAATAATCCTGTTGGAGCAATGAATCGATCCACATTGTAACCCCATTGCAACTCGATCGATAGATCGACAATTTATTACAGATGGCGCAGAGCTGTGGTTCTAACGACATTGGTCACCTTTCTATATACTTATTATTAAAAGGATATATATATATGGCGTGTTGCCTGTATTACTCACGTATCGTATCTAATAAAGAACTTAAGGTTAATTGTTTGAGAACAAAGTGAAGCTCAATTATTTTTGTGACGCCTCCTCATATTCCGTTAAGACATTTACAACAAATCCCTAGTGCGGATGAAGTTTGTTTTATACGTACAAAGTGTAAGACTTTTATATAAATTATGTGTTGTTACGAGTCAATGCCAGAAATCGGTAACAAAATTGTAATTTAAAAATTTTTTTCTGTTTTTCATATGAAATTATATGTAGTATAGATTATTTGATTGTTTATACTAATTCTAGAGATAGATTTCCAAATCTATAAAAGTAATACATAAATACGAAAAATATATAATTTATTGCATTTGATGAACTATACGACTTAAAAATCTTCATAAAATTATGAAATTCTGTTTTCTCTGATGGTTGATTTCCATATTTATAATACATTATACATATTCATCATTTTATGACAAAGATATATAACGTTGAAAATTGACAGCTAATTCTTGTTTATGTAACTACGTTTACATTTTATTTATATTTGTAAAAAGTAAATTAATTCATATTATATTTTTATTATGTTTATAGGTATTCGCTTCTCGATGGACGTTTCACGGGATGAAGTTAAGGCTTTGTCGGCCTTGATGACATTTAAATGTGCGTGCGTCGATGTACCATTTGGCGGTGCAAAAGCTGGAATTAAGATTAATCCAAAGAATTATTCGGAACACGAACTGGAAAAAATTACTAGAAGATTTACGTTGGAATTAGCAAAGAAGGGATTTATCGGTAAGAATTCAAGCTAAAAATAAAGAATAAAAAACAATAAAGAATAGCTTTCTTTGACTTTAGCTAAAAGTGCCGAGACTTTGATGAAGACATTCTCTGATGTAATAGTATCATAAGCGAATGGAGGCGTGACATTTGCACGATAATTTTAGACGTTGTTGAAAAGACATGAAAACGTATAAGGCTGTACCACTGTCTCGTAATGTCTATGCTATACACGTTTATGAAGCTAGCATATTATATACAGGGTCCGGCCGAATAATATGTAAAAGCGGGCACGACGTGATTCCTTATGAAAAAATAAACAAAATATATAGAATAAACTTTTTCGATTTTCTGCTTAGTTTTCGAGAAAATCGAGTTTGAAAATCCGCTGCGTACGTATGCTAATTGTGGCTAACAAGGGAACCTCTCAAGATGTTAAATTCTGATTTTAATGAAATTTTGTGAACTTGTAGCTTATATAAAGAGATGAATTTAGAAAATATTAGTTATGGCTAAAAAACGGTTTGAAGGGGTGAAATCACCCCTTACATGTACAGGTTTTCAGCTTTTTCCATTATATCTCGAAAAATATTTGAGATATAAAAAAATGTTTTTTACAAAAGTTTTACAATAAAATCAGCTGTATTTATTCGCGTTTTTAGAACAATTATTTACCAATTTTTTGTCAAAATTTTCGAAAAAAAATTGTTAAATAATTATTCTAAAAAAATATTAATTATTGACGTAAGTAAATAGAGTAAGTAAATAATTTTATTGTAAAACTTTTGTATAAAACATTTTTTTATATCTCGAATGTTCTTCGAGATATAACGGAAAAAACTGAAAACCGCTGTACACATAAGGGGTGAGTAGTATATGGGAAGCTTCGACCGGTCAAAACAAACCCCCTCCACTCCATCTCCAGACAGGTGGGCATGGCCTAGACGGGCCTGTCTGGAGAAATGGTGCACTCTGATTGGCTGGTGACGTGGGGTGGGATAACGAGGTAATTAAATGTCGCGTTTTGATTGGCTCGGTCCATAGCTGACCGCGCGACGATTGGAGAGGGCAGGGGTGTCGGCAGAGAAGAATACCATGGTAAAATGGTGGATGGCAAAAACCGAGGAAAAATGGGACCGAGAACTTTGTTCGTTACGG